TAATTACCCAGAATGCTGCTTCCTTACCTGGTAAGTCAGAGTGTGGTGCCTTTCTGAGACTGCAGGGCAGAGTGGCTCTCAGCTCTACTGCAGCCTTCTCCTGGACCCTCTGCTCTGACTTATTGGTCACTATATTTGCATCTACTTTCTGACTTTCAGTTTGTCAAAAATCTCTTGTCTGCCAGGACACTCCTCCCACCCTAGTTGTTTATACACAGATATTTTCTCCTGCGTGCATTTCTGTGGGTTTTAGAGAATGAGAGAAGGTAAGTGTGTGTGTGCTCTGTCTACCGTCCTCAACCAAAAGTCAGAACGCAGCCTTGAAATCAGTCAGTCTGGCCTCAGAACACTGAAATAAACAACTAGCAAAGACCAGCTTTGGTACTTTATGTGAAAAAAATCTATTATCAAAACAACAACAGCAAAATTATATTAGTGTAATTTAAAATATTGATTAAACGCTTTAGACAGCAGAAATTATTGCTGTTTCAATGTTAATATGTCATAACATATGATTTAACTCCATTATACTAGTTAAATATGGAAAGCTTTGTTTTCTCAATTGAATGTGTGTTCCAACAGATATGTCCTATTAAGAGATTTTAATCTTCTCTTATGTATAATTCATATGAAGCATCAACTTCTGGATGCTTGAAATATAAGCAGTTACAATGAGGTTGAATCTCTGAGTAAGAGAAGGGACTTGCAGAGTAAAGGAAATGAGTATAATGTAGTGGGATGGCACTGCTGGCTTCTCAAGTTCTCTTCAACTCTGGTTTTTCAGAGATCCTGTGCCTTTGAATATCTGGAAAGCCTCTCCTCATTGGGAATTTCTTGGCGATAAAAAATGCATATTATGCATTTGTACATAGTTCAGTTCTCAGACCAGTAATAATGTCTTTTTTGAAAAAAATCTTTGAGGAAGATTTTATATTATGAGGTAGAATATCATGTTTGTATGTTTTTTATGAATACACACAAATCTACATTTCGAATATATCTTGCACTTGTGGTATGTGGACCACTTTGGAGTATTTATTCTTTTGTATTAGATGTGCATGGGTGGACAAGTTGAGGAAGCTACGTTTTGAGGAAACTGCCCCGAGGATCCCCATTCAACTATTGAATAACCAACACTAGTACACAGTTCGTAGATTACTTAAGAGTTTATGAAGTATTTTTCTGTTGTTTTTGTTAGGTGCCGTCGCATAGATTCTGACTGATAGCAACCCTAGGTACAACAGAACGAAACACTGCCTGGTCCTGTCCCATTCTCATAATCGTTGCTATGTTTGAGCCCATTGTTGCAGCCACTGTGTCAGTCCATCTTGTTGAGGGTTTTCTCCTTTTTTGCTGACCCTCTACTTTATTTTTTTTTTTAATACTCTCATTTTAATTTTAATACTTCCAACAATATTACCTTTGTCTGGTAACTAGAACTACATTGTATATACAATCTAAATTTTAAGAGTAGAATTAAACAGCATCAAAGGACAGGCTTTAGGTCATTATTGACATTGGCACTCAAAGGCTAAATCCCTTCTTGAGATGGAGGGAGTTCAAGCTAGGGTGTTCATTCACCACTTAATACTAGACTTGGCATTTAAATTGTGCCTTTTCTTCACTGAAGTTCCTTAAGCTTGTTAGACATTAAACTGAGGTATGTGGCTATGCAATTTAAATCAGCCTTCGTCCTCATTAAAAAGGGCTAGTAGTTATTGTTTCTTAACCTCTGTCAAACCAGAGAGGAGCTACATTTTGACATTGTGGACTTTGTATTATAGAACAAATTATGTAATAAGAGCTTAGGACATGTTTGTTAAATCAAATAACCAGCAGTAATTTCCTTTATCTTTTATCCTCCAGTTCTTATGAGTGATTTCCTCTGGTTCATTCATTGATATAAAAATGATTACTCTACCTGATCCAAGCCTAGCCTGCTGCCATTGAGTCGATTCTGACTCGTAGTGACCCTATAGGACAGGGTAGAACTGCCCTATAGGGTTTCCAAGGAGCAGCTGGTGGATTCCAACTGCCGACCTTTTGATTAGCAGCCGTAGCTCTTAACCACTGCGCCACCAGGGCTCCTCTACCTGATCAAGATGTAAAAATGGTGTGGCAGGGGCAGTGTCTGAACTCTAACTTCAGATGGGGAGGGAGAATCAAGATCAACAGCTGATTTCTGTGAGGTGGAGGTCAGACACGCCTCGACCCTCCAACCTTTTTACCGATTCAGATGCCAACCGTCCCTCCCACAGCACTTTCCACTTCTCTGCGGAGTTCAGTGTTGCTGTGGCCACACAGACAGTACTTACGATGATGGGGTTTATTAAGGAAGTAACAGCTAACAATTCAAGTTCAGGATTGACTCAGGATGCAGTGCTTTGATCAGGACAGCTTCTCAGCCGTGCCCGCAGGCATGCCTGCCTTGGCCCCTCGGCCTCTGCCCTGCTCTGGCAAGTGTTACAAAGCTCTTAGCTCTGCCGCAAAGTGCCCGGAGGCACCCCACTCTTCCAGTAAGCCTTGGCCTAAAGGTGCTCAATTCTGTCACACTATGGGTCATCACACCCACTGTCACCACCTTGCTCTGTGGGCCAGGAAACCCACCGCACCAGCTCCTGCCAGTCTTCTGGTTCAGCTGGCTCTGCTGCTGCTTCTCGCTGTCTCTCGCTGTCTCCACTGTTACAGCTCTCTCTCTCTCTGTCTCCTGGGTCTGGAAGGTCTCAGCACAGGGATGCTAGGTCCGAAGGACACGCTGCACTCCTAGCTCTTCTTTTTTGGTGGTAGTAGGTCCCCCTCTGCTTTGGGATTAACAGTTCTTTTAAGCCTAGCAGCATGGCAAACTGAACAGTCCCCTTGTTAGGGTTCCATACACCTTATTTGCATGACCACACCCCCACAAGGGTGCCATGCATCTTATTTACATTATTAGCAAGCTATCCAATCCCCTTGGTGGGCCACAAGCACCTCATTTGCATAGTCCTCACCTAGTCATTTGGTGGGAGTTATAAAGACTATGGTTAGTAGGGCCATAGTAAGTAATTCACTGCACCGCAAAGGAAGATTAGAATCCAGAGTTATCTTTCCAGATTTTTGTGTTCAGTCCACTAGGTCAGTTTATATCTTGGTGTAGTAGAGATGAGCTTGTTGAATTAATTAAGTACCATGTGAATGTTAAACCACAAGAAGAACAGAGTGTGGTAGACTCCTGGATAAAATAGGAACAGCTCAGGATCATCTGTCTTCATTAGCATTTAGTATGAAGACAGTGGGGGGATGTGTTTTCTATCTTCTGTTAGTAAACTTCTTGAAGGCAGGAATCATTTATTTGAGTTTATATTCCTTTTAATTAAACTTTTTATCTGGAAATAATTTCAAACTTACATAAAAGGTGCAAAGAGTTCTCATATACCTGCTACCCAGATTCACCAATTGTTAACATTTTGCCACACTTGCTGTATCAGTCTTTCTCTTTTGGTGTATGTGTGTGTGTGTGTAATTTTTCTTTAAACCAGTTGGGAGTAAGTTGCATATGTCATGCCCCTTTAGCCCTAAATAGGTCAGTGTGTATTTCCTAAAACAAGAACTTTCTCTTGTATCAAATCAAGAAATTTAATGTTTTGATACAGTACTATTATCTAATAACCTGTTGCCATAGAGCCAATTCTGACTCATAGTGACCCTATAGGACAGAGTAGAACTTCCCCATGGGGTTTCCAGGGAGCAGCTGGTGGATTTCAATTGCCAGCTTTTTGGTTAGCAGCCGAGCTCTTTAACCACCACACCACCAGGGTGCTACTATTATCTAATATACAGTCCATATTCTAATTTCACCTATTGGCCCAATAGTGTTCTTTATAGCAAATGTTGTGTTTGTTTTTTTCCCCTAGTCCATGATCCAGTCAAGGATGATACACTGAGTTTAGTTACGTGTGTCTTTAGTCCACTTTGATCTGGAACAATTTCTCTGCCTTTCTTCCTCCTTCATGGCATTGATGTTTTTGAAGAGTACAGCCAGATAAGATGTAGAGCACTTTAAGTTCTTGGCATGGACTATCAACCAAAGAAGTTTTAAAAAAAATGTTTATTGAACCTCTTTTGGGGAAGCACATTACTTTCAAAAGGTTTAATTTGGGAAAGAAGTGTGGTTTATTAGAAAAAGAACTTGTGCTTTGAACTTACAGACCTAAATTTAAATCATATTTCATTCTCTTACTACCTTTGTGTCACTGGCTGGGCAAGTTACTTTATCTGACAGATTTCAGTTTCCTCAGCTGTGAAAGGGTATTGATAATACATTAACATGAAGAAATGAGAAATTATTTCCAAACATTTAGAGCGGCACATGATGTGCAATGCAATGAATGGTAACTATTTATAATTTTCTCTTCAACATAACCTCCAGGTTATGAGGGTATCACTGCAGTTGCCATGTTCAAGGGTTAAATACTTCATAGCCCTAGTCTGTAGAAGCAACGGAGAACAAAACCAGATTCACAGCCAGAAAATATGGAAATCAGTTGGTTGCCACGTTTTCATCTTTCCTGTGATGTAAATATTACTTAAGAATTCCTTACATTTCACAGATTCTATAGATATACTTACCAAGGGTATAGGGGCTACTCTGAATTTTCCTCACGTATTCAAGCTCTGTGGCATGTGATATTTTCCATTTGCTGTATACTCTCCACTTAATAACTAAGTACAAAATGGTACCATTCAAAGAATCATTTACTTGTTAGTTGGTTTATTGACATACCCATGTGCTGAAGTCACTGGAATGTGGCATAGACAAATCTGGCTTCTTCCACCCCTGAGTTGGTAGAAGAAACACTTGGTAGCTGTTAAAGTGCTATTCTTTGCAGTTATTTGGTATAATTTGCCACAGAAATAAATTCCAGGTTATATTCTTGCTAGGTCTTACCCTGTTTCAGACTGAAAGAGTTCATGCTGAGGGCCAATGGTCACTAATTCAAGGGATTCTCTCATTAACTTGGCAGCCGTGAAGATTTCCAGCGAATTCCAGAACTTGCTATCAACCCGTTGGGGGACCGGATCATCAATGCCTTTTTTCCAGAGGGGTGAGTCTTTGCAGTTATTAGGCTTCCTTCCTGGGGCTATCTCAGCCTGAATTAATTGCTAATCTGGAATAATGATATCGGTTGAATCATCTCAGACCCTTATCCCACCTAATTATCTTGGACATCCTTGACTTTGTTATATTTAGAACATCTCTTCGTTTTACCGTCTTCTCTGTTTTAAATGTCAAATAAGCATATCAGCCCATCTGCAAAATTCTGTCTTTGATCTCTGTCTTTCTTTGATGTAAAACTAGGCTTTTAAAAACTTTTATTTGAGAATAATTTCAAACTTCCAAAAAAGTTGCAGAAATAAAAATTGTACAAAGAACATCTATAAATCTTTACCCAGATGCATCTAATGTTATATTGTTATATTTTAACATTTTACTGGATTTGCTTTATCATTTATACTCACACACACACACACCTAATTTCTCCCTTTTTCTCTTGCTAGCCATTGAAAATATAATGCAAGCTATATACATAATTACAAATTTTCTTATAGCCACATTAAAGTAAAAATAAGCAGGTTAAATTAACTTTGGCAATATATATTTTATTTAACCCAGTATTTCCAAAACATTTCCATATATAATCAACATTTAAAAATTATTAATGAGATATTTTACATTTCTTTTTTTCAAATTAAGTCTTTGAAATCCACATATCAATTCAGAGCAGCCGCATTTCAAGTGCTCAGCAGATGCGTGTAACTAATGGCTGCTGTATTGGACAGTGCAGTGCATGCATGTGTGGCTAACATGCTTTTGCTTTCTCTCTCTTACTTGCGCTTTCTATATATATACATGTACATTATACACACACTCACATAATTGTTCTGTGTTTGTGTTTGTGTTTTTTTCACATATTTTTCTGCATCGTTTGAGGGTAAGTTGCATAATTGTCACTGTTTATCCCTAAATACTTCACTTTGTATTTCATAAAAGTTGGAATAGTCTTTTACATATCCACAGTACAGTTATCAACATCATTAAATTTAACATTAATGACTTTATTAATCTGTTATCTATTCGATTCCAATCTATTATTTGTATTCCAGTGTTGTCAGTTCATCCAATAATGTCCTTTATAGCATTTTTCCCCTTCATTACAGAATCCATTCCAGGGTCAGGTATTGCATTTAGTTGTCATGTCTCTTTAGCCGCCTTTAATCTGTAGTAATTCCACAGCCTTTTTAAAGAGTAGAGTTCTCCTCACCACACACACATTTTAAAAGAGATAATTCCGTAATTTGGGTTTGTCTGATGTAAAACTAGGCTTTGGCTATGCCTCACTACCCAACACACTGCCTTCCTTTTGTGAAAGTACTAAGTAAATATTTACTGATTGGATTAGGTACCTTTTTTTTTTCCTGAGTGAAGCTTATCATATAATCTTGTTTTAAGTAATCTCCTAAATAATCACTTCCTGGTTCCGTGTGAGTTAATCTATACAACCTCAAGGACTTCAGTGCAAAAAGTTACATGGCTGCCAGTTTTTAATGAGACTAAGCATCATTAAGACTAATGGACCACAACTACCACGGCCTCCACCAGACTGAGTCCAGCACAACTAGATGGTGCCCGGCTACCACCACTGACTGCTCTGACAGGGAT